GCTGTAGCCCATCTGCCTCAAGGTTTGACGTGTTGTGTGTTCAGACATGCTCTTCTGCATTCCGCGGTTCAGTTGTAACGAGTGGTTATTTGAGTTACTGTTGCCTTTCTATCAGCTCGAACCAGTCTGGGCATTCTCCTCTGACTTCTGACATTGACAAGGCATTTGAGCACTGCTTTTCATTGAATATTTTCTCTTTTTCAGAATATTCTCTGTAAACCCTAGAGATGGTTGTGCGTGGAAGTCCCAGGCGTTTCAGAAATACTCAAACCGGTCCATCTGGCAGCAAAAACCATGCCATGTTCAAAGTCACTTAAATCACCTTCTGATGCTCGATATGAACTGCAGCAGATCGTCTCGACCATGTGTACATACGTAAATGCATTGAGTTGCTGGCGTGTATTTGAAATTATTAGAAAATTACACTAGGACAGGTGTACCTAATAAAGTGGCAAGTGAGTGTATATTAGTTAGCATAATTACTGCTATCTAATGTTAATATGTTAGTTATGTACAGCTTTAAAATAGCTCCTATGTCCCATGTTGTATTCATATTTATGATTGGGTTTATTTAAGAAGCATCGTGGTCCTGCAAGACAACATTTGACAGTGAAGCTTAACTTGACATGACTCATTGAATAGCTACAGCTACACAAAATACACAAACTATTGTAAGATCAATGTATCGTTTTGCCATTCAGTACATGTTTTTGTTTAATGTAATACACTGATAAACTCTTTCTGGAATATAATGAATATAAACAATTTCTAATGTGGTGTGAGGATTAAGAAGAACTTCTATTACACAAACCGTAGCATGCTATTTTCATTAAGATTTCACTACAACATATAATCAAAGTATATACCCTATGAAAGTCCTTACTGTGAAACAAGTGTAACTAATTTAGAGGTGAAGACTATGGGGCACTGTGTTTTCACATTGCTTTAATTGCATGGGATGATTGCCATAGTACTAGATCATGTGCTAACGTGTTTACGTGTAATATTCCTTTAACTTTAAGTCATACAGGCTTCATGGGCTTAGTTAGTATACTTTCTGGCGGAGGTAACAAAATGCAATGATTTGCAATACAGTTTATAGACATTTTATAACAGAGTCAAGACAAAAACATACTAGTTTGAAACTAACATATTTATGTAGACATTTATAAAGCGTACAGAACATTATAATAAATCAATTTAATGATATTTTGAAGTACATTTGAAATATTTTTGTTAGCATCCATCCTCAGAAGTGAGCTTATTTTGATGTGACTACATACTGCAATATATAGCACATAAGTGCATGATATAGAAGCTGTATAATTGTGTGAACAAAATGTAATATGACAATTGGCATTTATAAGATTTTACATTCTTCTTGGCTGCTTTAGGCAAATCACTTCACATGACAGCAGACAAAAATATTTAGATGTAGAGGATGCAACTATTATTGAACTCATAAATAACAATGCTGAAATTCCATAATGCGAGCACATCAACAAAGGTGGACCCTACATCAACATATGAAAAACACAAAAGTATCCTGCTGAGCTCAAGTTTAACCCCAAACCACTCAAATCCCAATAAATGTTTACCCATACAGACTTACCACAACAGATTTATTCTAAGCTGCACTTCATGAAACAATGTCCACCTGAACTTCTCTCTTTAATAACAGCTTTTCCCCATTACAATGACTACTTTAAACATAGATCTCTAGGCTAGTGTATGCCCAGACCTTAATGCACCTGCTCTTTAATATATTACATAACTGATCTTACGAACCCTGTCTGAATGGAGCTGGGTTATTTATTATGCTTTTCTGCAGAGGAAAATATCTCTGATTATTAATTGACATTTTTCCTACCTATTTTACACTCTTTAAAATAAATATATGGGAAGAACTAAAAATAAGTTTTCAGTGACGTCAAAGAATCTTTTTGTGAAAATTAAAATAAAAGGTTACCCTGATCTACAAAACGAATCAAATTTTGGCTGAATAAATATGCTATCCATTAATATATTTGTTAGGACAGTGTTTACTAAATAGAGCTCTGAAATCAAATCTAAATACTGAAGAAAAAAAAATTAAAAAGCTGTCCAAACTAAGTTCTTAGCTGTAACCAGGGGGATGGCACTGACAACAGAGGTGTTGATCCACATGCAGGTTTATTAGAATGGTCAGGCAAGCAGTGGTCAATACAGGAGCAAACAGATGTTTATACCTATGGGCAATCTAGAGTCGTAGTCAAAAGGCAGGCAGATGGTTAGAAGTCAGGCAACAAACAGGATTAAAAAATAAACGAGGCAAGGAAAAACCACAACAAAACAAGACAAAGGAAAACACGTTAAAATGTCACTTAACAGATAACAATGTGAGCTGTATATATGTGTGTGTAATCAGTACTTGAGAAGCATCAGCTGTGTGTATGCTATGCAATCAGTCAGGATCAGGAACCATGTGTATATGTTGCATGACTGAATATGTAGTCCATTTACAAGCAGATTTGTAGTCCTATGTGTGTGAATGTTTTCCAGCGATCTCTGGTGGTTTGATCGCTGGTGATCATGACATTAGCAGTGCATATTCATAAATTGAGTTTTGCTATTTCATGTAAGGAAATGTACAATACAGTATACCTTCTTGGAAATTGTCTTTAATTACTATGATATTGTTTTAAGCATAAAATAATAATAAAAAATGCATTAATTTTAAAACAATAAAATAAATCAATAATGTTGTATGTGGTCATGTGGTAACCAGGGATGGGCAGTATTAATGTTAAGTATTACAAATACGTGTTTTAAATACCAAATAGTATTTTCACATTTGCATTTGATAGGGTATTGTATTTTGTATTATTTGTATTTTAAAATACTGTAAAATACTTTGTAAGAAGTGTACATGATGAAATAAAAAAAATGCTGCATCTGATTGATGCTTGCTCAGTTAGTTGTCAAGCTTGAGATCAGAACAGACATTTGATTAAGAAGGTGGTCAATGCTTGGAGTATGGATGGAAATTATGAATACACATAAAGATCAGAGTGGTTATATTTCTGAGCAAGTTAGCAATCGTTTAAAATAGTGTACTGCACAATGCTAAGAATGTGCAATTGCAAAATAACGTACAATTCAGCATCAACAACCTTGCTTAAGAAATGAGATGGAATAAAATCATAATCGGTACATAATCAGTTTTACTGGTGTTCACTAAGGGGGTAAACCACGCCCGTAGCCAGCCTCTTTTTCTTAAAATGTGGACCTTTTTTAAGTTTACAATGTACGGGATTTAAATACTGTATTTTAGTGACATTTAAAGCACTATTTTTTAGCTGGATTGGGTTGTTAGATTGTCATTATAATGACACATTTAATGAACCAAAATATTTCCTAAAGATTTAGAATAAAGAAAAATAAATAAATACTTATTTTTAAAATACAAATTTATTCCATCATAAATCACTGTAATTAAAATAGGAATCTGTTAAAGTTTTTAGCCAATTTTTTTAGCCTCTCTTGTAAAAAAAAAAAAAAAAAAGTAAATTTTATTCGATTGGAAATTCATGGATAACATAAATAGCCAAATTAATATTCAAATTCATTTTAATATAGGATTTTGCTTGGTCTTAAAGCCTTTTTCAATGGCTTAATTTAAATAGTGCTATACTCCAACTCATTATCTGCATTAGATGGTTTTGCAGTGAGTAAAAAGAACATCTTTAAGACAGTAATTTCTGTATAAAATTTGTATAAAATTCATGCTAAAATAAAAGAGAAACAAAGATTTATGAAAACCTCCGCATGTATAGGTGAATGAGTTGACAAAGAAGCTGCACTTAAACTTGCTCAGAACTGCTGCCAAACATTGTTTACTTTGCTAAATCAGTTTAATGGTGAAGGGACTGATCAAATCTGCCTAGTGATGGAAGGTTTGGGAAGAAATTTCATGCTACCTTGTAAAAGTATTTTGTAGTAATTTCAAAAACACAGTATTTTATTTTGATACATTTGTGGCTGCTATATTTTGTAGTTTATTTTGATACGTGTAAAACTGAGGTATTTGGTGTTTTTGCCCATCCTTGAGTATACTTCTGTTATATGAGTATAACAAGTCCAAGTGTGCTTCATGAACGCTTGCATTTTCTAATTTTGATGTCATCCCATCTCCTGAACATTAAAGTTTAATGTCAATTAAGACTTTAACCATCATTTGCTACTGCTGAACCTGATGTATTGCAATCAAGTATTTTGACCTTGAAAAGGTCATAAAAGAAACTCCAAAAGTCAGATAAACCAAATACTTTCATCAGTATCAGGAGAGTGATGCACACGACTGATGGACCCCTGCACAAATGCCCTAAGCAGCTGTAAATATGAGTCTAATGAACCCTTTCCCCTCTTCTCAAGTACGTGTTTACATCCACAAGATATTGAGGTGAGGAGGAGTTGCGCGACAGATTGCTCATTTCACTGCAGCACGATAAATAACACCATTGTAATGCATATATGCATTACATAACTCAAGCCGCTGACACAGAGCGAAAGGGAGCCGTAAGTCTCATATGTTTTTACTCAACTGCAACTAATAGTCGGAAAAGACATAAAAATAGTCCAGTGTTACGAATTAAAACATAACGTGACAACGGCAATTCAGCAGCGGATCAAAATTACAGATCACATGCCTGAAACTGCTAAGTGTAACCGTGCTAATAATAAGCAGAATCATCATCTGCGCTTCCGCAATGAAATGTTCCTAAAGATGTTTTCTTCAGATAGGACTAAATGCACGCGCTGTTCCAACTGACAGCGCGAGCCGCACTTAACGGTCACTGCTGTAACTATAGCAACATTATCTGTCAATCAGCATTACACGTTACACCTCTGTAATAGCCAGTCGCACCTCTACTGTACTCGAAATACATGTCAGTGAGATTAACATTCATTATTCTGACCAGACGGCTTAAACGGCCATTCCAGAAAGGGTAAGTGTTTACCTGAGGCGAAGAAAAGGCGCTGTCCTTTTCCCTGTGCGGTGCTTTTCCAGTATAATATCACTCGACGCTGTGCTCTTTCGTAGGCGAGCGTCACGGGCTGCTCTTCTCTGAGGATGCGCCCAAATGTTCAAATCACGATTCCTCTTCGGCGGTGTGGTGGGTGGTGTAGCGGTTACGGATTTGGGACTGTAGGTTCAAACGCTAGCAAAGTTGATCTGGATTGCCCCAGACTGAACCCTTGATCAAGACATTCACCTTTGAGAGGATATTTTAATGCCACTTCCAGAGGAAATTTTAATGCCACTCATCAAAAAGCTGGCCTTGAAATAATGAAGGGCTTAATTTATTGAAAATACACGTTGGTTAAATTTCTGTTAAAGGGATAAATTCATCCAATAATTCACATTATGGCTAATAATAATAATAATAATAATAATAATAATAATAATTTGTCATACTAATTAATACTTGTGTTGTTCTAAGTTTAAACAGCTCTGTTTTCCTTCTGTTTGGATACAGGTACAATATTTTCTCATTGAAATCACAACTAAACTATTATTAGTGGAGTGGACTGTTGGTGATAAATTATTAATTTATTATTTTGCTTCATTCATATGCTTAGCCTTTAAAGTTCCTGTGAAATAAAAATGTTTTAGATGTTAGTATCAGTATTTTACCCTAAGGATATCTATAAGCAAGAGAGATTTGTTATTGTTTGTAAAGCTGATCTGCTGCTAAAGCGGAAGCAAAGAGCTTAGATTCTATGCTCTATGGAAGGCACGATGATGTTATTCCAAAGCACCATTTCCTCGGATGCTGTATAATACGCTATTATAAATTATTTATATAAATAAATAATTTAATTTTTCATTCATTTTCTTGTCAGCTTAGTCTCTTTATTAATCCTGGGTTGTCACAGCGGAGGGAACCGCCAATTTATCCAGCACGTTTTTACGCAGCAGATGCCCTTCCAGCCACAACCCATCTCTGGGAAACATCCACACACACACTCATTCACTCACAATACTCATACACTACAGACAATTTTAGCCTACCTAATTCACCTGTACCGCATGTCTTTGGACTGTGGGGGAAACCAGAGCACCCAGAGGAAACCCACGCGGACACAGGGAGAACATGCAAACTCCACACAGAAACGCCAACTGAGCCGAGGCTCGAACCAGTGACCCAGCGACCTTCTTGCTGTAAGGCGACAGCACTACCTACTGTGCCACTACGTCGCCCAGTTAGAATTTTATAATGGTTTTAAATACTTCTGGATTCATTTTTGACCCCAGATTACCTATACAGCATCAGACCAGCATTAATCTATTATTTTAATGTAAACCCAATCATAAGTGGATATTTAATTCCAGGCTTTGAATGTATGTATATCAAAAAAGACTAACTAGCTTATATAGCTTACATCATAGTGCATACATACAGATAAAGTCAGTATTATTAACCCCCTGAATTATTAGCCCCCTGTTTATTTTTCCCTCATTTTCTGTTTATCAGAGAGCAGATTTTTCAACACATTTTTAAAACATAATAGTTTTAATAACTCATTTCTAATAACTGATTTATTTTATCTTTGCCATGATGACATTAAATAATATTTGACTAGATATTTTTCAAGACACTTCAATACATCTTAAAATGATATTTAAAGGCTTAACTATGTTAATTAGGTTACCTAGGCAGGTTAGGGTAATTAGGCAAGTTATTGTGTAATTATGGTTTGTTCTGTAGACTAAAAAAAATTGCTTTAAAGGGGCTAATCATTTTGTCCTTAAAATGTTTTTTATTATTAAAAACTGCTTTTATTCTAGCTAAAAATAAACCAAATAAGACTTTCTCCCGAAGAAAAAACATTATCAGAATATACAATATTATAAATAATTCCCTTGCTCTCTTATTATTTGGGAAATATTTAAAAAGCATTTCAAAGGGGGGCCAATATTTCTGGTTTCAACTGTAGCATTTTTATTTAATTTTTTTGTTTTGTGAACCTTTTAGCGTAGTTGTATCTCAATACAGTTTTTTTTTCAACAAGTGAGAATGATGGTTTGTGTAAAATTAGCCACTGTTTCAGCAGAGACAGTCACTCTGCAGATTAGCTGAATGAGCTGCCTGCCTGTGAGCCAAACGCTAAAAAACACAACAAACTGCAGCACAGCATCCCGAGCCCCTGCCAGAATTATAAATTAAGCACCATCTCTCTCTGCTTCATTCATTTAAAGCGAAACATTCTGAAATTCACTCCATTATAAAATCTTTAGTAATGATATTTAATGCATAGTAAAATGTGTATGAAACATTATACAGATATCAAACCATAACATAAAGATTTTGATAAAGATAAAATATTAATCTAAGAATCCAAGTAGACTTCTTGTTTGTATCCATGTGAACAAAAATACATGAAATACAGGCAATGTATAAACTCTTAGAAATTATACCTAAATATTCTTCATCTGTTTTGAATTAAACAGAGTTGCCACAAAAAATACTGATTAGAAATATATATTTTTAAAAATATATTCATTTTGCAAATATTCAACAAATGTTTAATTAACAGCAAGCTGAATCTATTATTAATTAAAAATAATACCACAATAACAGGACTGACATTTATCTATATTTTCTTTTTTTAAATATTTCCAAAATAATGTTTAACAGAGCATTTAAAAAAAACAAACATTTTAAGGTCAAAATTATTAACCCCTTTAAACTGCATTTTTTTTCAATTGTCTACAGAATAAACCATCAGTTAAGCCTTTAAATAGCAGTTTAAGCTGAATAGTGTCTTAAAAATATGTAGTCAAGTATTATTTGCTGTCATCATGGCAAAGATCAAATAAACCAGTTATTAGAAATGAGTTATTAAAACTATTACTTTTAGAAATATGTTGAGAAAATCTCCTTTCCGTTAAACAGAAATTGGGGAAAAAAATAAACAGGGGGGCTAATAATTATGACTTTAGCTGTATATATATCATGGTTCAACGCTAAGAATTTTATCTACTGGCTCAACCTGACCAGTGGTTGAGATTTTTTCTTGCCCTGCTAAAATTTTTACATACTTCACCAAAATAAAAGTTAATAGCTATTTCTTAGCCACATATTTTAAATAATGTGTCCAAAATAACATCTGCGAATCTAGAATTTAAATACCTAAAAATCCTAATAAATGTATAATGCAAAAAAATATGCAATTAAAAAGAGCATTATCAAAAATGTGCAGGTATTTTATTGCAGTTTTAAATTATTTAACAAAAGGTGGCTGACTTGCCAAACTGACGGCAAATTGTGCAAAACTCACTTTTTTTTTTCGTGTTTTACGCACATAAATGTCTGCTTCCAAGATGTTAGAAACAGACGTTTTCTTTTATCCTCATATTTGCTATTGGCGCTATGTTGCCGTCGCTTTGCTGTACTGGTTGTTAACACGTTACAAAAAAAAAAAAAAATGTTTATATATATATAAATGTGTGTGTGTCTGTGTGTGTGTGTGTGTGTTTACAACATCCAATCAAATAAGAGAAACCGAAAAGCATATCACAGAGAAGGTAGCATTTAAACGCTTAAAAGGACAAACTCAATTCTAAGACTGCATTTGCATGCAATTGACAAATAGTCGCATTAATTAAGGGCCTTGAACAATTCTGTCTACTATCCCAAGCATCTCTCATGGTTGCTCTGGGCCATATAATAAATACAGTGTATACAGTTGAAGTCAGAATTATTAGCCCCCCTTTGAATTTCTTTTCATTTTTAAATATTTCCCAAATGATGTTTAACAGAGGAAGGAAATTTCACAGTATGTCTAATAATATTTTTTTCTTCTGGAGAAACGTTTAAATTTTTTAAAGACCATTTTTAGGTCAAAGTTATAAGCCCCTTTAAGCTATATATTTTTTCCGATAGTCTGCAGAACAAACCATCGTTCCACAATAATTTGCCTAATTACCCTATCCTGCCTAGTAATCTAATTAACCTAGTTAAGTCTTTAAATGTCACTTTAAGCTGTATAGAAGTGTCTTGAAAAATATCTAGTCAAATATTATTTAATGTCATCATTGCAATTTTTTTTTTATTAACGAAAGAAGAACAAATTCCTCAGTGCTATCCAGATATTCCTGTAAGAGGAAGTGACATGACTTGGAGCAGTTGGCATGCCCTTTCTATCAGTGCTTTAAAGTTTAGCAGAATCTAGAGACAGAAACAAAATAAATTTTGTATTACTGCTATTACAAATAATACAGAAAATATATGTTTCATGCATTTATTTAATTGAACTACAAAATATGAAAATTAAACTATCATGATAGTTAAAGCTGAATATATGACTCTGGAGGCAGAGATGGTCAGAAATAAGTGTAGTTGGAGTCTTATACTCAAGACAAAATGTCCCTAGATACACATACAAACATTATGTTTAGAGATAACTTTTTAATTTGTGTTAATATTCATAACGGTTTCATGAAACCCCTTGTTATTAAAAAAGTTTTTTTTCTAGGAGATGCAAATATCTGCAATTATATAGCTATATGTATGTCCAACTATCCTATTTGAATATTAAGGTTACTTACAGAACTTTTATCATTGTAGATAATTTAAGTTCCTTCAATGTTTATGACATTAAAAGTGCAGTTGTTACTGTATAGGTTTTGTGTGACTTTAAAAATAGATGATAAAAAAGAATAATCCACAGAATATATATAAAAATATAATTTCTTTATTGGAAAATAAAAGTGCATCAGAAAAGAACTCGCTGGTATCATTGCCAGGTGATTACAATGAACACAGAGTAATACAGTACACTTACCAAACTACAATTAAGAGTTAAACAACAGTTACATAAATTAGTACAATCTGTACACAGTCTTCTTACAGTATTTACACAAGGTGTATTCGTCATTGTTCAGTTCCTTTCAGTTCATTACACATTAAATAAACAGTAAACAACATAGGCAGTATTTCATTATCTGAGCCTCGCTTATTGAAGTGTTTTCTTCCCAAAAGACTTTGGGACTCATTACAGATCGGGTTCAATTAGATACATACATTAACAGTTATTAGGTCAGTTGTTAAATATTATTCCTTGTTGAATGCTAAAAATAAACAATTGTAAATAATGATGACCCAATGACAATTAACACATGAAACAAAAAATACATATCCATTGTATGATTACATCGTCATTTCAATCTATTCCTCCTGTACTAAGGAAAACGTTCTTGAAATTAACTCATTATATGAATCATTTATTTACGTACTCCATGTCCTCAATGTCTTAAAGAAATAGTTTACCCAAAAATAAGCATGAATTTTGGAGAAATCTAAACATATTTCAAATAAAAACAGTCCTTTTTTCCCCCCATGTGGAACAAAATGAGAACGTTTAAGCTTCATTTTCTATACATTTATATTTCAGAGTGACCAAATGGTTATTTATTAAAATCGTTTTCTACTCCTCAATAAGACAGTCCACCCAAATGTTTAAAGTTAATCAATGTTTACTCATCCTCAAGGCTTCCAAACCTACAGTTGAAGTCAGAATTATTAGCCCTCCTTTGATTTTTTTTCTTCTTTTTTTAAATATTTCCCAAATGATGTTTAACAGAGCAAAGAAAATTCCACAGTATGTCTGATAATATTTTTTCTTCTGTAGAAAGTCTTATTTGTTTTATTTCGGCTTGAATAAAAGCAGTTTTTAATTTTTAAAAACCCATTTTAGGGTCAAAATTATTAGTCACTTTGAGCTATATTTTTGTTCGATAATCTACAGAACAAGCCATCGTTATACAAAAACTTGCCTAATTACCTTTTAGTTAAGCCTTTTAATGTCACTTTAAGCTGTATAGAAGTGTCTTAAAAATATCTAGTAAAATCTTATTTACTGTCATCATGGTAAAGATAAAAAAAAATCAGTTATTAGAAATGAGTTATTAAAACTATTATGTTTAGAAATGTGTTGAAAAAAATCTGCTCTCTGCTAAACAGAAATTGGAGAAAAAATAAACAGGCAGGCTAATAATTCAGGGGGCTAATAATTCTGACTTCAACTGTATAAGTTTCTTTCTTCTGTTGAACACAAGATAAATATTTTGACAAAAGCTGAAAACCTGTAACCAATAACAGTCATAATAGGAAAAACAAATACTATAGAGGTCAATGGTTACAGGTTTTCAGCCTTCTTCAAAAAATGTTCTTTTCTGTATAACAGAAGAAAGAAATTCAAACATGTTTGGAACAAGGGTGAAAGTATAAAGACAGAATTTTAAGTTTTAGGTGAACTATCTCTTTGAAAAAAGCAAACATTACATTATTAAGGAAATATAGTGTAATTATCATATGAAAAATTGTGATTTTTTTTTCTTTGGTGCTCTTTGAGTTTTTGGTATTGCTGTATAGGTAAAAAGCTTCATCAAGGTTTGTTTTTGAAATTGTGTTCCCTAAAAAAAAACCCTAATGGCAACCATTTGTATGTTTGAAACAACTTCAGATTGAGTAAATGAAGACACAATTGTCATTTTTGAGTGAACTATCCTAATAACACAAAGTTCTCAGTGCTTCAGGTCCGCTTTAGCATGACCAGTCAAACAGCCAGATGACTTCAGAGCTTCACAAGATATAAACAAGAGAAGAAAAGAAAGTTTTGCGGGGGCCATTATCAGTGCCCACTTCATGTCAAACGTTCTAGTTTTTTTGATGCTCACAAGACGTGAGAATTTCAGGGTCCAGTAAAACTCGGAGCTGCCTTGTGTGCACATGTGCTTGATTGTCAGTGTGAGTGTGTGTGTGTGTTGACGCTCCTCACATGTCATTTTCATAGTCCCCGATCATTCTCCGTGAGTTTGAAGCAAGGAAGATATCGTTTTCGCGGGGGCAATTGTGATGACAGGAGCAGGTCTTAATAAACATCATCTTCTTTCTGAAGGAGTCCCCCTCAGGACAGCGGAACTCCACCTCGGCTGTGATGGTGGATTGAGGCGTGCAGCAGCGGTCGTCTGTACATACACCACAGAACTTTGGCTTATACAGCCTGATGCTCTGGCATCCAGACAACTCGAAACGCATCCCACTCTGGCTTTTTGGGGTTCGTACACACTTCTTTCCTCTCTGAAAAGAGAAAGGTATAGGCTGTTTAATATTTAGGCTCATACTAAAAAATTATCTCAACAAACTCTATGCACTGCAACCGTACAGTTTAATTTTGTATGCGTTTTTATTAGTCTTGTGGCAACTAATCATAGTATTCAAGGGGAAAATAAAATGAAGGACCAGGTCAGATTTTAGTTTTTAGCACCTATAAGCAAATTATTTAGCGTATACTCCATTGACCACATATCTACTGGATCTTTCCTTTTAAAGGAACACCCCATTTATGTTGAAAATAGATTCATTTTACAATTCCCCTAGAGTTTTTGAATCATTCAAATATCCACATCTGACAGGAGTACGTTAAGCTTAGCTTAGCATAATTCGTTGAATCGGATTAGACCATTAGCATCTCACTTAGTTTTTTTAAAAAAAGAGCTTTGATAATTTTCCTTTTTCAAGAGTAACTCTTCTGTTGTGATGTTGTGTACTAAGCCCCAGAGGGAATGAAAAGTTAGTACTGTCTAGATCAATATTTGTAGGAACTTTACTAGCATTCCGGCATTATAATCTTCAAGAAACTTTGCTGCCATCCCATGGCTGCACATGCACAGCACTGCTAAACAGTTTCCTAGCTAGGGACTGGTTTCATTCATTCATTCATTTTCTTGTCGGCTTAGTCCCTTTAGTAGTCCGGGGTCGCCACAGCAGAGGGAACCGCCAACTTATTCAGCAAGATTTACACAGCGGATGCCCTTCCAGCCGCAACCCATCTCTGGGAACCATCCACACACAAACACACACACACACACACACACACACACTCATACACTAAGGACAATTTAGCCTGCTTAATTCACCTGTATCGCATATCTTTTGACTGTGGGGGAAACCGGAGCATTCGGAGGAAATCCAAGCGAACACAGGGAGAACATGCAAACTCCACACAGGAACGCCAACTGAGCCAAAGCTCGCCCAGACTGGTTTCAGATGTTGCAAGATATGATTGTCCCTGCTTCAGCCATGGTATTACTCACATTACTAGATATTCTAAAGCACAGGTGTCAAACTCAGTTCCAAAAGGGCCAGCTTTGCACAGTTTAGTTCCAACCCTGGTCCAACACACTTACCTGTAGGTTTCAAACAAGCCTGAAGGACTCAACTAGTTTGATCAGGTGTGTTTAATTAGGGTTGTAACTAAACTGTGCAAAGCTGCGGCCCTTTTGGAACTGAGTTTGACACCTGTGCTTTAGAATATCTTCTTTTGTGTTCACCAAAAGAAAAAAAATACAAATAGGTTTGAGTCGGTTTTAATTTTTTTATGTGAACTATCCCTTTAAGTAGCTATAAAGATGGATAAAGTCTAACAAATTAAATCAGTTTGGCTTACAAAATTGTTCATCATTTTTTGAGATCCAACATAGAAATTGATCTGAAATGCACACCATGATGCACCAGGCAACAATGCCGAAAACGCATGATTCAATTGTTTTAGATAAATCTTGCACCAAGTTCTAATCAGGTACTAATTGCTTCCCATGTTCATTTATTATTAAATTAAAACTAAATGAAAAATTTCTGAAACGTGTGAACAATCCTTCCAAAATATACTCTATTGTTGATTTTTATTGCCACTACATACTATACTAATTACATCACCATGTTCTTGCAACAGAGTGGAATATAAACAAGACAATATACTTTTCATTCAGCATTTTCAACCCATCTTACCTTAATGTCCTTTTCTAGATCTGCATGGCAGGGGCGGATCATGCACATGCGGGTCTGTCGTTCCAGCTGGCATTGCTCATTGTCATTGGTTACACGGGAGGACACGCCCATGCCACAGGTTGCAGAGCATTCGCTCCATTCAGTGGTCTGAACGATGCAGTTGTCCCTCGCACTCTCAGGCTGGAGACCGTGAGCGGAAATTTCTCTGTATGCTGATAGATTAAAAAGTGGATATTAAAATCATGCACTAATAATGACAACTGGAAAGTGTATTGTTGTTATGCAATGCAGCGAGTATAATGAGTTTTGAAATGATCAAATTGTCCAAATTCACACGGTCCATGACCATGTTTTAAGGGTTAGTTCACCCAAAAATTGAAATTCAGCTATTAATTACTCACTCATGTCATTCCAAACCTATGTGACCTTTGTTCACCTTTAGAAAAGGAATTAAAATAATAAGATAATTTGGATGAAATTTAAGAGCACTCTCATACACCATAGACAAAAATGTCCCGCCACGTTTAAAGCCCAGAATAGGAACCAAAAACATTATGAAAACAGTCTATGTGATCTCAGTGGTTCAGCTGTAATCATACAAAGCTCTAAATACATTTTTTGTGCATCAAAAACCCTATAAAAACAACTTTGCTCGCCAATGTCTTCCACCTCAGGGCAGTGTGTGCATTTACTACTACAATACGATGCCTGCACTTCCAGTGCTGACTCTAATGAACATACATTGTAATGCCGTAGTAAATGTGCACCCTAAACTGAATGTGTGACCACTGAAGTCACAATTTTGGTCACAGTTTTGACAATGTTTTGGTTCCTTTTCTGGACTTTGAACATCTCAGGACTGTAGCTGTCTATGAAGGATGAGAGAGCTCTCTGATTTCATCTAAAATCTCTGTATTTGTGTTCTGAAGATGAACAAAGATCAACATGTGAGTAATTAAAAACATTTTTTTAAACATACCCCTTCTTGCACACGACCAATGAGAGGGGCTTTTAAAGAAGAACCTGGGTTGTCCAACCAGATGATTGATTGTTTAGGTTAGGACAAGTGAATTGACTTTCAACAAGAAGCAGCATGCAAAGCAAAATGAAAGAAAAGTTGACTTGCCGATTGACCTACCAGCCACAGCTGACTGGAAGGTGTCTTCTTGTGGGATCTGGTCGCACACCCACTCCTCACAGCACTTGCCAGGGATCTGGACACGTCGTGGGTAGGGGCAGTCTGGAGAGGGCAGCCGTATGATGGTTGCGCAGGTTGGTACGCAGCCAATCTCCCCATTCATGCAGACACATTGGTGTTTACAGCTGGGTTGGAAAGTCTCACCACTGCGATAAATCACACCACCCAGATCGCACGTCTGACCTTCTTGAGCTGCAACACATGCAATCGTCATCTTATTGGTATAGTAATTCTTTCATCATTTACCCATACTCTACTTATTCCAAACTAGCTTGAGTTTCTTTCTTCTGTTGAACACAATGGAATATATACTAAAGAATGTTAAGGAAAAACACAGCCATTGACTTATATAGTATATTTTGTTTCTTATACTACGGTTGTCAATAGCTGCTGGCTTCCAGTATCCTTCAGAATATTTTGCTTTGTGTTCAACAAAATTAGAATCACTCAAGTGTATTGGTGAGAAAATGTTTGGGCTACCTTTCATAACAGTGAGAGGCTCCCACTTGTGGACAAAAAGTGTATTGCATGCACTTACTCGACCAATGTGCAACAATATGCAACAAAGCTCAGGGATACAGTACTCACCCATGCAGATGCCTGTCTCTGTGTCACTGAGCACACTATAGTCACAGTATAGGCCCTTATGATGGTCGCATGGCTCCAGGAATGAGCAGGGCTCTCCTGCCTGTCGTGCGCACACTTTACAGCAGCTACAGCCGTCTAACACTAGACTGGTGCCTACAGGACATAATGGGCTCTCGTCTGGGCAATCACAGGGCTGAGAGCAGTCCTGGCATATTGCCTAAAAAGAATAATGACACAGAATTAGTAATCAATCATAGAAGCTTTCTCTCATAAATCTGTGCGACCAACATTTTTATCATAGGTACCACAGATTCCAGAGCTTACACAAAGAGAAAAAAAGTATGTTTTTAGCACATCGATTGATAGTTCTTTGTTCTAAAATATCACTGTATGCCTCTGACAAATTAATGGACTATTATGTTGTCATTTGCATGACTGGCAATCTATATGCAATATTCCTGATGGCCGCAAGAGGGAGATATTATTCATAACAAATGTAGATTTGAAACTTGTGATGTTTTGGAGTTCCTCTAGTCTATTTCCAACACAAATTCCAACCCACAATTAAGCATTTTAATGATGATGAACCGTTTAAAAAAATATGAAATGATTTAAAATTGTCCTGAGTACTGAAAACTAATTTTAAAACGTATAACAACAATAAAGTAAGCATATTTAATAAGATAAAAATGCATTTCAAGATATTACCCATTAAATGTATGTAAAATATTTCGTCCATTGCAAAGTAATGTTATAAAAGACTGTCACAACTTATTAACAGCAATATTCAGAGCATTACAAACTCAACAAAGAACACAACCCAGTATAGTGACTTCCATAATCTATTCATCATGTATGATCATGTAAAAGAGAATGAATTTACATAAAAGTCTATTAAACAAAACAGAAAACAATAGTTAAGATGAAAACAAAAGCTATAAACACCCCCAGCTTTCAAATAGTAAATTATGTACAGAACATCTTGTTAAAGTAAATGTTCATTGTAAATGTAAATTTAAATGATATATAGAGTGATAGACAGAGTATGAAAACAGCAACATGAAAATAGCAATAGAGATTAATTTAGTTCCCTCACCGTGTGTATAAGCAGGCTGAGAGCGATGCATGCTCTGGTGAATGCTGTTCCAGTCATTTCCTCAAAGAGTTTCCAACAGAAGCACACTCCACGGGTTTGTTTTGGTTCTCTGGTGTCTGTGATCACGGTTAAGCTTCAGGACTGTAGTGGAGAGCGGAGAGCCCCTCTTTAAATACTAGCAGAATGGGGTGTAGCCCACCGGAGTCAAGCCATGCCACGCGACCCAGAGGGGTGAAAATATTTCAATTCCAGATGGTTTTCCATAATGTTTGAAAACGCAAGAGATGCTGTCGACCAGCCTTTCAATTAATCATACCACAGATTCCAGAGCGTGCACATGGGAAAAAGTCTGGTTTCTGCACATGGTTTGACTGCTGTTTATCCGAATATTAATGTAGGCCAGTCTGCTGGGATGGTTCAAGATGCTTTGGCAGATCGTAGATTAGAACATTGATCAGATAACCATGGAATGCAGCGATGTTTAGACGTCATACAAGTGATGTGTGAAAGTGTGCGTGCTAATGCTTTGTGTTTGGACTGGCATTGCATTAAACTGCAAAAACAAAACGGTCGTTTGGTCACACAAATATTTCCCACCGCATGATGTCATGCTAGACAGGCCTGCAGGGCAGAGGATATGACATGGCCTGCGATTTAATGTTTGCTGGAACTAAATTACACACAGGGCAGTGTGAAGTTGTGTTTAGTGGAAATCCAAAACAAGCTCATGAAATCCGTCTGAGTCAGGTCCAGAGAAAGAAACGCAGTAGAATGAAATGATGTTTATTTTTCTCTCTCCTCGCAGCTATTTCCTGAAGCATGTCAACCTCCTGACGTTTTATATGAGAGAAAAGAAACAAAATGTGCTGGACAACAGTACGTGGTACAAAGCTGACCTTTACGTTTCTAAAGAAAAGGCGGTGGGGCCTGTGTTAAAACTTGCCGACACATTACTTGGCTGTTTTCAGTTGATTAAGTGCAAAAAGTTGGCACCTGCTTTGTGGTTTCTAAGGTGCCAACTTTCTAAGGTTTTGTGAGTGGTTGCTAGGTGTTTTTAAAACATTCCTCAAACTATGAAGTAATGATGAATGAATTTTAATGACAACCTTTAAATTATCAAAATGTAAAGGTGCATTTAGTAGATTTTTAGCATAGAATGTTAACACTAGCTCTGCTGCTAGTGTAGCAAAGGCCAGCTAGTGAAATGCTGTCCCGACAAACCTCATTCCTATGACCCCTAAAGGTGCTCTAGTGCCATGGTCTTTAGCCATAATAATTTTCGGTGCAACTGACTACTATATGTAGAGTCACCAGTTTGGTTCCAGTTTAGTTGGGTTATGTAGGACCGGCAGGGTTACATTGGTCCAGGGATGGGAGTGAGGCTTAGGGAAGTGAGTGTAGCGGAGGCCAGATAGTGAAATGCTGTGCTGGTAGACCTTACTCCTCAGACCTCTAAAGTTGCTCTAGCGACAAATGCTAGAGGCTATGGTCTTTAGCCTCCTTATTAGAGCAACCAACTACCATACATTGAGTAGTCGGTTCGATCCAGCTTAGAGCGGGTTGGGTGATGTAGGACCGGCGGGGTTACAACATCCTCCGGGTACTCAGGTTTCCCCCACAAGTCGAAAGACATGCGGTATAGGTCAGGAGTATCCAAACTCTGTCCTGGAGGGCCGATGTCCAGCAGATTTTAGCTCCAACTTGCCTCAACACACCTGTAAAGCTGCGGTCACATTAGAGTTTGAGCATGCGAAATTCTGTTGTGCGGCGCTGCGAAAAGAGGCAGGATTAAACAAGCTTATTAGACATTTAAAAAGCGAGCGATTGCTCCATGTTTTAAATTTCTGTCCAGAGATGTCATGTTTTGAACCACGATAGGTCTCACGCATTCAAGTGATGCCATTTCGCAGATCAGAGATTATCAAGCTTGAACTTTGCACTGAAGCAACCTGCGAAAGTTGACACATTACCTTGCGTTTCCGGTCTGAAGAATTTGCGTGCGTATGAATGGAAGTCTATGAGGAGAAAAGCCCATGGTGACCGCAGCTTAAGGATGTTTCTAGAAAGCCTAAAAAGAGCTTGATTAGCTAGCCCAGGTGTGAATTTTGCAGGACACCGGCCCTCCAGCACAGAGTTTGGACATGCCTGGTGTAGGTGAATTGGGTAAGCTAAACGTCCATAGTGTATGTGTGTCCATAGTTCATGTGTGTGAATGAGAGGGTTAACGATGATGGGTTGCAGCTGGAAGGACATCCGCTTTGTAAAACATATGCTGAATAAGTTGGAGGTTCATTCCGCTGTGGCGACCCCTGATTAATAAAGGGACTAAGCCAAAAAAAATGAATAAATAAAATGCTGCAGCAAAAGTCCATCATCAAATTGGTTCAGTATTATTATCTCCTAGAACTCTCGTCACCGTGGGTTCATTGCATTTTGTCTTCATCTTTTGAGGAGCTAGTAATTCATATTATAAGAAAAAAGGCCCACAGTGTTCTCCTACCTCAGCAAATTCAATTTATATCTGGCTTGTTTTTCAGGAAGTGATCATTTTGTTCTCTTTGACTTTTGTTCTCTTTGAAGGTGCTTCACTCGCAAATGTTTTATGCTATATTTCATTTTTAAGTTTAATTCACATCTTTGGATAAAACATAGCTAGTGTGTGCAATTCTGTCTGACAATTAGTGAAAAACTGGGGGTCACATTACTCTTTTTAGAGTAAGCTTTTGTCAGTATTTCCTTATAAGAGTCTTAATGAAAACACAGCTTATTTCTTAATGGTTAGTACCTTTTATATTAGGCTACTGAATGAAATACTATGTGGATGCACACTTGCACATCCAAGCTGAGACACCCAGCCTCAGACAAACGCATTCAGTAGAGCTAGTGACATCACTGTGAGGCATAGGGTCAGGGCGGGAGTTAGGTGCCTCAGCTTGCATCTGCACATCTCACTGAATGTGTCTTTAATGCAAAGAATTGGTGAATTATCATTCTAGATCCCCAATTTGATCACACAACAACCTCAGAACATCTTTTTCTACATAACCATGTGTTAAAGCTTCTCAAAATTGTATGCTTTGCGGGTATCTTTTAATAGTTTTGCACGTGTAGCTTGCTAAAATGTCTGCATATCTACTGCAAACACAGACCTTATCATGCTGTGGCGTGCTACGAGGTCTCTTGTTTTCATGGGAATTTTATTTCTCAGCGTTGGGGAACTTGAGGTGCAGGAATGTAACAGCAGGCAGCTAGCCGTGGTCTCTTTCCTCTCCTCAAGAGTGGCGGGTTGTGGATTGCGCTTTGGCAACAGGATACTCCAGTATGGCCATGAAACATGTTCATAAGTTCAAAACAGAACCGTAACTAAGGAGTGCCGTAAATATCCTCAAGCTGTGTGACTGTGGAGTTGCCATGACTCTGTTTCTGCTGCGGGACATCCTGCTAACTGTACGTCGGTTAGTCTCTGTCATGTGTTGAGAACTGTTGGCTGCTCTTGTCGGTTTCAGAATACATCGCAACGAGACACCATATTTAGTGTCACCCAGATATTGATGAACAATGGTTAGTCATTTGTATCAGATCAGCACGCTGTCAAAACTCTATAAACATTCCCGGAGTTAGGATAAACCTGTCTCATCTCAAATCTTACAATCAGTTCTTCGTGGACACAGACGTTTAGTAGGCTAGGCGTTATTAGATTAGCGTGTTTATCTGAAGGATGTTCTGCCATTGATTCTTTGAATGTTACAAATAGTGCGATTGTGGCTTGATGAAAAGCGTGCAACATCAGCATCTGATCTTGTTCCATGTAAATATCTTGGCTTTTTGATTTGCGTGCTCATTAATGAATAAAGACAAACAGTTGCTGCCTGAAAAACAAAACACCAGAAGTGTAGAGGTCAATGTTGTACGCTGGTTTAATCCCTTTTGCCATCTGCTTGTCTTGATAATGGAACACAGTGCGGTGTTTTCACAAAATGAACAACTTTATTGCCAGCATTTGGTACACCAAATCCCAGATTAATGACACCATTTAACGGGGACATAAAATTGTTTGTGCCACACTGCATTTGTGACACACAATACAATAGCAGCATTTCACTGCTTTTAAATAGCCGGTCATCAGTTTCTGTGGCATGGTAGTTACAATATTAGCATATTATTTGTATTTGTCAGGTAACTAAGCAAATATAAGATTGTTAAACTTTATTGTATATCTTCTAGAGGTTTTTTGGGAGCTTAATAATTTGCAGCTTTCAACGTCAGCCAGGAATCTGTTTACATGATCCCGAACTGCAGCAACAAACACTTCAGAGGAGCTACCAAACACTGGATTTTCAAAGTTTGTTTTCATGATTAAAATCTTTAACAACAGTCAAACATTTTGTTTCAGGCACAGAGTAGAATATGACAGAAATGTGTTCATATTTCCTGATTTGGGAACATACTATTTTCTGAACTTGGCCGACCATCTGGATCACTGAGTGTTTTTTATTTCATTCCTTGCTAATTCTTATCTAAAAGGAAATATCTGCAACATTTGCAGATGACCAATGAAATACACCAACAGTCTATTATAGCATGCCAGTCAGTTCGTGAAATCCCTAAAAGGACACCTATGATGCAAAATAAACTTTTAGAGCCTGTTTGGACAGAAATATGCATAGGTATCATGTGTACATATGTCATATTTGAGTGATGTCATATGATGTCATGTGTCATATTTGAGTGATATAAACAGAACAAGTATCATTTAAAAAATTTCCTAGGATTCAAATCCCAGCAATATTGAGGCCTACCCCACCATGACGTAGAAGTGTGGTTTACCCCACCAACCGATATTGTATTATCATGTCTCAGTATTAACAAGTATTATTATGTCCACAACACAGGATTTGCAAAGAAACTATGATTAAATTATCTGTTCCAACCTTCCTCTCTCCCTCGTGAAGCTAATATGGTAACTGAAACTGCAATTCATCGAAAATAAACTAAGCCTGGCTCCACATTTCCATTGACACAATGTTAAAATGGCCAACTTTACAACAGAAAATAGGTTTACAGCAAGATACAAAAATTTTTTTTGGTGTGTGTATATAGCCAATATTATCCTTAATGACAATTGTGAGGGGGTGAATTTTTTTA